TTAATAACTGATGTATCACTCAGAGACAGGAAAACGTGTTAAAATGGTTCCGATCCACAGCAAAGAGACACAAAAAACGTTTTTGTTTGTGTATTAGAAGTGTAAAAAAATATTGATACACTGAAATGTCGCAATATTTAATTTCCCGATATTGATTCTTAAAAGTATGGTATTTAATTCTGGCCTGATAGATGGGTGTTTTAAGAAGAAATGTGAAATAAAAATCCAGTTCTCACTGTTGTTCAGTGTTCTTCCAAATGCACAAAACTAAACAGAATTAAATCAGATTTTATGTAATGTATGGTTTGCGATATATCGCCTTGTTTACAGTATCGCAATATCACAATGTATCGTGATCAGGGGTGCAACAATACATGTATCTGTATCGAATCATCAGTGCTTTAGGTTCAATACACACTGTAAATGGAACAATAGAGATATTTAAAATTTATTTTATCAACTTGTCTTCTGAAGATGCTCTGTGTTGAAGGATCAGTGGATCTGTGTTCGACTTCTCCACCTAGGCTGCATTGTGGAGCACAGATCCACTGAGAAACATGCTGTTTCAGCAACATTTAAAACAATAAAAAAACACAATGAGAGTCAATTATAACTGTGAAACTAAAGTAGAAGAAAGTTAAAATGACATTATTGCACATAGTTTAAATATTGCACATTTTATATATTGAAGTATATGGTTTATGTTGGTATCGCAGGTGATCATTAACAAAATAAAGCGACGTGTCCCACAGTATGTATGTATTCTACAGTATGTATGTATTCTACAGTATGTATGTATTCTACAGTATGTATGTATTCCACAGTATGTGTGTATTCCACAGTATGAATGTATTCCACAGTATGTATGTATTCCACAGTATGTATGTATTCCACAGTATGTATGTATTTCACAGTATGTATGTATTCTACAGTATGAATGTATTCCACAGTATGTATGTATTCCACAGTATGAATGTATTCCACAGTATGTATGTATTCCACAGTATGAATGTATTCCACAGTATGAATGTATTCCACAGTATGTGTGTATTCCACAGTATGAATGTATCCCACAGTATGAATGTATCCCACATAGGGCTGCAA